GAGAGTCTGCAGCCACCGGTTTGGTCACCCGGAAGGGGGCCCTCTTCTCTTCCAGGGAGCACCTCCGGCCTTCCCATGGAAAGGGGAGGTTGGGCTCCTCTGCTTGGCTCGCCTGCGGTCCTTTGCTCTTCCAGCATCTGGATGCGACTCATCCATCTTTCATATGATAGCCCTTCAAAATGTAAGATGAAGGTAGACACAGGTGGACAGATTGTGCAACTCACTGCAACTCAGTGCTTACTTCCACAGGCCAGTTTCTGTGAAATCATGGATAAGAAACATTCTCTCCTCCACCCCCAGTTTTAAAGACCATACTCCCAAACTTTGCCTGTCCTGCCTTTGTGACACCACAAGGTCCTACAAGCAAAACCTCTTAGAGATTTCAGGTGTTAACCTTGAAATATTTGGGGAAATGAAGCATCTGATGTAGTCACCCTTCAATAATCTACGAGTACAATAATCTCGTACTGGGAACCCCATGTCGTAATGAATGAAACCCACCCAGTGGGTGACAATTCCTGATCCAATGTGGTAAGGACCACCTGTATTTTCTCTCCCACCTTTTCCTCTCTCTCTCTCTCTCTCTCTCTCTCTCTCTCTCTCAATCTCACACACACACACACACACACACACACACACACAATCACAAGCAATACGGTACAAACAAGGAATGGACCCGACCTCATTACGACCTTCTAAGGCCAACCAGTCACTTTGCCGGTATGGGCCATCCAGTTGCTTCCGACTCCTGTCCAGGAAGTTTCTAGGGCAAAACCCCGTCATCGCCAGTCCTGCTCAGGGGGTCACGCATCACTCCTAGGCCACGGCTTCTTTTAGGGAGTGAATCCATCTCACATCTGCTCTTCCTCTTTTCCTGCTGCCTTCAACGTTTCCCAGCATCCCTGCCTTTCCCAGCAAGTCCTGCCTTCTCACGAGGTGCCCAAAGAAGGGCAGCCTCCGTTTAATTCCCTGCCTCCTAGCAGAGAAAGAGGTGGATGGCACTAAACACGAAAGTTGCTGCTCTGGTCAAGAGACGCTAGATCCTATTTTTATTTTGGACAATCTGAGCCTAAAATACACAATCCGGAAAGCCTCTTCGCCGATGCCCATAAAGGAAAGCCACAGACAGTTCTTCAGGTCGGTTTTAGCCAGCGTTCTTCCGGTGCGACACAGAGCCGAAGGGCGACGGAGGGCACGCTGAAGGCGCAAGCGGTTTCGCTCTTTGGCACAAATGTCTGTGCATCGGCTGCAAAAGCAGGCCCGTCCCGGGTCTCATGCAAAGGGACTGCCCGCTTGGGGAGGGGACCCCCCCCTTTGCGCCTGCTGACCCCGCAGGGGCAGCCGTTTGCAGCAGGAGACGGCCTGTTTCCAAGACCGGGTTTACAAAGCACTGCCAAGCGAGGGCCAAAAAAGAGCAGAGAGGAAGTCGGGGCTGTGGGGGGGGGTGTCCTGAGAGTGGCTGTGCCAGGAGAGGGTGGGGTGGGGAGCGTCTGCTGCCCAACTGCCCCACCCCCATCACTGCAATCCCCTTCTGTCNGAAGCCCTGATGGAACCCGGACCGGAACGCCAGGCGCGCTTCTTCAACCACCCCTCCATCCGAGGGAAGCACCAAAGGCGCCTCCAAAGCCCGGCCCACCCCAAAGGACCCCTGGACAAAACGGGCTCACGTGGCCAGAGGGAAGGGGGCGCACCTGCTCTCCCAGCCTTTCCTAGGTGACAACTGGGAGAGCCGTGGGCCTGACCGTGGCAGGCGTGTACACACACGCACGCACGCATGCACACACAGAGAGAGAGAGAGTTTCCACCCTGTGGCAGAGCTTGCTTCTACTCACCACCGGCTGCTTGCGTTTCCTCCCCGGCCGCCCTGCTTTCCTCACAGCTATTCCTGGATCGGGCTTCTCCTCTTTGTTCCGGTTCTCATCAGGTTCCTCTTCACCCTGTGGTCCAGCGAGAAGTGCAGGACCGGGGGGGGGAGAGACAAAAGGGGGGATTTCAGCTAGGTGGGGAGCAGCCCTGACCTGATCGAGAACACATGCACCCCAGGAGACACCCCCCCCTCACCTGGACAGGGAGAAAACCCACCTCCAGAAAGAGTGAAGAGGAAAACGGGTTGTGTGTGTGTGTGTGTGTGTGCTCTGAAAGGAAGGCCACGCTCCTCCACCCACAGGGCTTCTCGCCTTGCACCCCTCCAGAGGGTCCAGAGAGCCTGGGAAGGGACCCCCGCCCTCTGGGGCTCTTTGGCCCAGCGCTCTTTGGCCCACCCACCGCGGAGACCTGCAAAACGAGGCCTGGTGTAGAGAAAGCCCGATCCCCCTTCTGCCCCACAAGGGGAATCGGGCGGTGCCTCCCCCTCCTCTACCCAGGGGGTCACGTCTCCTCCTGGAGGGGTTGCTCCACATCCCTCATCACTCTGACTGCCCCTTCTTCAGCTTGCCAATATCTTCTCTGAGGGGCTGAGACAGGAATCTGTTAGCCCCACACATATCCCTGTCTCATAGAATCTGATAGCCTCACAGATCCCTGTCTCATGCACACACACACCCCACACACACACCCGACGCCATTCCTTGCCCAGGAAGCCCCGGCAGGGCGCCTGCCTCTTCCATGGGCCCTGTACCAGCGCCTGCCCCGAGCTCTCCTCCACCACCTCGTGCTCCACTTCTTGGTCCATCACTGCCAGCTGGGACCCATCAGCGCTCAGGCCATTCAAGATTTTGCTTGTGTGCGTGTGTGTTTTTTTTGTTTGCCAAATCTCCAGCACTTCACGCCTGTCTACATTGAACTTCCATTTCCCTACTGCTTTCCCCCCCCCCCCCCGCTTCCGAAACCTCCCTTTGAGGAACCCCTATTGTTTTAATTGCACCTAATTTGGCGCCATGACCCAACCCTACCTGCTTCACATTCGCCTCTTAAGGGCTGAGCACATCTCTGGATCTCCTGCCGCAGCCGTTTTCAAAGGGCGAAAGAAACATAGCCCTGGGGAACTCAAATGGTGCCAATCAAAAAGACAAGATGAGGAAGCAAGCGGAGGTAGGAAAACACAGGGCCACGACCCGCATGACTTTGGTGTCAAGACAACTCTCGGGTCACCTTTGTTTACCCCATGTGCTATTTCCAAACACTGAAAACCACTTGGAGGGCAGGGTGGGGGTGGAAGCATCAAGGTTCCTCGGGCAGAGAATGCGAAGGACCTTAACAAACGAAAAACCCTAGAATTTCTTGGCACCCTCTGCTAGAGAAACACTCACATGTCAAGATTTGAAATTCTGTTTGTAAGAATATTAAAAGAATTCCTTCTTTTAATAGGTATTTAATCTTTAATATTGGGGAAAGGTATTTAAAAAGCATTGAAAACAAAAATGTGTGCAAAATGTGGCTAGAAAAGGATTCACTATAGTCAATGCAACACATTTCTCAAGTGTACCAAAACCAATAACCAGCTCCGGCTGAGCAAGGTCAATGTACTTAGTATAAATAATCCTAGCAATTGAATGAATCTTTTGGTTAAGATGGTTGTTGTGGGTTTTCGGGCTCTTTGGCCGTGTCCTAACGTTTCGCCATTCTCTGTGGCTGGCATCTTCAGAGGACAGGAGTCAGAACTCTGTCTGTGCTCTGGTGCAGTCTCTTTGGATAGTTGAATATTTAGAGCTGTGGGATCACCTTTTGTCCTTTTCAGGAGATGGGTGATTGTGGTGTTTTCTACTTTCCAAGAATGTATTTTGGTTACGATTTGTAAATATAGAGATAGAGTAGGCATTACTGATGGCTGGCATTTCTTGCAGTTTCAGTGCTTTTGTATTTCAATGTTGTTTAGTCGTTTAGTCGTGTCTGACTCTTCGTGACCCCATGGACCAGAGCATGCCAGACTCTGGTGTGGGAATTTCAATACCCAGATTTCATAAGAATGTAGGTTCTTATAAGAACATATGTTTTTCAATTTGTGATACTACAAGACTATGATTGTATCAGGTCTGCAAAATTATTAGTCAAAACAAAATTTGTTATCCATATAATGACAGCATGCTGGATTGCAGATCACACGCTGTCAAGAGTTATAATATAGACAACACAACAATTTTGAAAAGCATTATTGGATGTTTAAGCATTTGGGTTTACAAGACTTACAGATAAGATCTGTTCGTAGTTAGAAGAAAAAGGCAAAAAGTTTAAAAAGTTATAAATATGTGTAGACACACAATCAATGGGGCACTCAGCATATCACCATAACTCCACACTGCTTTGGGCACCAGACAGCAAAGAACAACAATCAACATGGATTCTCCTCCACAGAAATTAATTAGTATGGCAATGCACAATATATATACATTATTTGTGTGTGTTCTTCATTATTAGAGGCTAAGAATGTCATTTTCTTTAACATATTTTTTATTTTTAAGAACTTTGGTATCTTCTCATTTTAACAATTTTGATATTTTTCTGTGTATTTAAAATAACGCGTTTAAAGCTTTTAAAGGCTCTTAAAGTTATCCATTGACCAAACTCTGGGAGGCAAAAGAAGACAGGAGGGCCTGGCATGCTCTGGTCCATGAGGTTACGAAGAGTTGGACATGACTTAATGACTAAACAACAACAAAAGTTATCCAATATGTTATAGAGCTGTACTCTTTTGACTTACTAAGGTATACTAGGCTCTTCAATTTTTAGAATGCAACTTAAACTATTACTTTTCATGTTGTACTTTTGATCCTACAATGGATTCAGACTTACACATGTGCGTAAAACTTAAATTTTATACAGTATTTGAATGTCTGCAACCTCTCACAGTTGTAAGACTTTTGGATAGCCGTCACACTTGTAACTTTTCCTACATTCCAAGACTGTATTTTAAAGGATATGTGCCTGCAGTTTTCTTCATAGCTGTAAGACTTTTGGATTTTACAACTCTGAAGTACTGTAGTTTTGTGCATTTGAATATTGTCCTTTTAATAATAAACAAACAAATAAAAGCAATGTAGAATTCCAAGGCACAGATTTATCGCAAGCGTGAAAAGATTTGTACAGTACTTTGATACTCAGATGGAATTCTGATATGATTGTCAGAGATTGTTGGGGTTCATTCTGGAATTAACCCTTTATTGAGATAAATGCCAGTCGTCACAAACACAGGCTTAATATTGTCCTTTTAATAATAAACAAACAAATAAAAGCAATGTAGAATTCCAAGGCACAGATTTATCGCAAGCGTGAAAAGATTTGTACAGTACTTTGATACTCAGATGGAATTCTGATATGATTGTCAGAGATTGTTGGGGTTCATTCTGGAATTAACCCTTTATTGAGATAAATGCCAGTCGTCACAAACACAGGCTTCTG